ATTGCTTGGGCTAGCTGTGATTATCACGTTTCTTTATGTACGCGTTTTCGTGCTGATCCCACGCCATGCATGAAGCCAAGCGCACTCACGCTAGTATTAGCCCCGTGCGCGACCGAAAGCGTCGCTGTGGTCGGCCTTCCACGATTGGCCCAAAAGCTGACTATGACGTCGGAAAGGGTATACCATCGACGGAAATAAGAGGAATGAAAGAACTTTGATTTCGACGGTGTTGGCAGTGTTGCTTTGAGAGCGCAATGATTTCAGGCTTCCACTATGCTATTTACAAACACCATCGAACTTGTTGCTCGCAAGGTAATGACGTCACAAGGGGGAACCATAGGAGGGCGCCACCGAAACATCCCGCCGCTAATACATCTGACAGCGTTGTACACTCTGTACAAAATGAGGTGTATGTGCGATGAGAGCTCGGGCATGCGCAGACCTCTTCTTGCAAAATATTCATTCCCCTGTCTCGACACAATCAAGGCTCGTCAAGACAAAAGCCATATCGACCGCAAACGTCGACCCAAGCTTTCGAAAGTGCTTCTTCCCCGCGATGCAATCTCGTCGATCCCCGAAATCCGTCAAATTAAAGAGGGACCTCGGAACGCTTCTCGGCAGCAGCGGCAACCCAAATTAACTTCACCGCACTCTACGGAGGCCAGCATAAAGTGTGCTCCGCCAAAACCAATCTGGAAGACAGCGTAGGTCCTTCACAGCCTCGTTAATAACGAACGAGCTCCGTGATTGACGGAGTACGTGCGCCAAATTTTGGCGTTATTAATATGCACCGCTCCGTTCAGCATCATTCTCCACGATGACGTGCAGATACTTCGCGTACGACGGACGCTCGCATAAACTCTGATTTCCCGAATGCCCGTGTCATCCTCTGGCCCGTCTATGTTTGTATGTAAGAAAAAAATGTTTGAAACCGTGCAAGAGAACGCCTGGCTTGTTGATGGCTGATTTGTTTTTCTACTCCTGTCGTTATAAGTTTGGCACTTATAATGGATGTGCCCCTCCGTAGAGTGTACGCAAAAGGCTTACATTATCTTGTGTGAAGCGTGAACAACCTATATTCGTACAGCACCTGAGAGATAAGCGATCTCGCAAGTTTACTGAAGAAACGTTTTCTTCTGTCTGCTTAACTTTTTTTTTATTCATTTTCTTTTCGGAAAAGGGGGGGGGGGGGGGGGAGGGGGGGGGGGTGTTGTGCAAAGGTGCGGCAATCTTGGGAACAGTGAAAGGAGTTCTGATGCACAGTCGAGCTGGTACATGGTGATACCGTAAAATACCGGGAGAGCGCCCACCCGGCTTCACTGAAGACTGGATTAATCTAGACATGGGCGCTTGTCCGGTCATATCGGGCGCTGGACGTATAATCTGCAGACTTCCCAAGTTTGAAATGCGTTAATAGTGGTCGCTTCCGCGGTATTTTACGATATGTCTCGGGGTTTTCCAGTACAGAGTCCCGGAATTTTGTTTTATATTCTTAATGGCTTTTCATTAAAATGGCCTCTCAAATGCCCCAAAAATTATAGAAACAATTTACTCGCATTTTTTCTTTTATCTAGACTTCAGAATAACTGCCGCTGGGATGACCCAGTCAAGCTAGAACCCGGGCCCTGGACAATCTTGGCTTTTATAAATATTTCGCATGGAATTGGCACGCTTACAATTAAAGATACTATCAATTTGCTCCGCCACGCACAACTGGGAGCTAAAAAATTTCAAGACACTCAAGACTGCTTACGTGTAGGAAGATAGTCCCATGGGAGAAATGTTTTCTAGTAATGTTTCTACACGTATTAAAGTTACGGACGACGTATAGGACGACGACTAGAGATGGACGCCAAATACGACGTCTAGGACGCTCTCTAGGATGACGTCAAGGACGACATCCAGGACGGCGTCTAGGACTCTCTTTAGGACGACTTCGATGACTACATCGAGGACGACGTCGAGGACGGCGTCTAGAACGACGCCGAGGACAATCTCTCAGACGACATCAAGGTCGACGTCTAGGACGACATCAAGGACGACGTCAAGAACGACGTCTAGGACGACGTCAAGAACGACGTCTAGGACGATTTCTAGGACGACTCCTAGGACAACGTCGAGGGAGTGCACTTAAGATGACTGTGGCGTATTTGCGTGGGCGGCCAAGTTAGACTGCGGGGGCCAGCGTAGATGTAGAGGCTGCTGCCGATGTCGAGGCCGTATAAGATGAAGACGCGGTCGCCTCACAGTCCATCGCACGAAGCACACAACGAGCACTAATGAAGCCCGAAGCGCAATTTTTGCACAAGGTACTCCGGCGGTAACATCACGCTCTCGCGCTTGAGCGTGAGCGTGAGCGGCGCGTGCTTGATGACGTATTTTAATGGCTATCTTTCGGGCACAACGACGCCGCTTTTTCGCGTAATGTGACGAGTAAGGTCGTCCTAGAGGTCTAGAACTACCTCTATAACGACTTTAAAGACGACGCCAAGGACAGCGTCGTTCTTGAGTATAGGATGGAGCGGCGCGTTCCGTTCTATCGTATTTCTATGGCCATATACGCCGCTTTTACCCTCAATGAGACAAGACCTGTGCACACACGCAGAGGAGCGCTACCAGCATAGTGATGACCTCACGCTAAGCGCGTGCTGACGGGAGCGTTCTCCAGCTTTGGATCGCACTGTCAAAACTGTTGCTCATGGCAGATGATAAGTAGCTGACGACACGTCAGCGGCGCTCCATCAGCGCTTCGCTGTATTTGAGAACCGGCGGGTTCTCAAATGCAGCCAAGCTGTGATGTAGCACTGCTCACAAGAAACGAAACAGTGGCTTCAAAACCACCTCTCACAGGGACGTGTAACTCGCGCTGTGAGATTTCGGAAATGGCGAGCTTCGCTTACATCCATGCAGCATTATTTTGTGCTGAAGTTACCTGTTGCGTGACTTCCTCTGTGTCTCTGCTCCATCTCGAGATTTTTAGTGCAGCGTTACAGGATAAAGGAACAGAAGCCCAGGTTTTTTTACTCAGTTTTTGTTTTTTCCCGAATGCTCGTGGACACGTAATATTATGCAAATCTGTTCCAGCTTAACTGGCTATCGACAACGCTGCACGCAACATTTGTATGGAGGATACACCGACTCCTGTTTATGACGTCCTGTTAAGAAGTCTGTGGCACTATCTCGGACAGGGCGCATCCGCAGAATGCCTCAATCCTTGAAAAAATGGAGGGGGGGGGGGGGGGGGGGGAGCTCGCTCACAGTTCCATTTATAGACGCTGATGAGGTTGGTTGTTATGTTTCGTTTCTCATCGATACATGCCCACCTAAACAAAAAAATCGCAGCACTTCTTCGAACTATATATATGTATATTACGTAGCTCAGTATTGTATGTGAAAGATAGGATCAATCATGAGAGATTTCCCAACCCAAGACCAGTTCAGCAGCCTTTTTATGCATACATAAACTCTTACCCAAGCCGACTGCAGACTGGAGTGGCCTTCTTGATGACATTGACGTCATGGCCGATAACGCCAAGTTTCTTCTCTCACTAAACAAACAGTTTCCTATATAATGCCTCCCAAGAGCCTAAGGCCGATAGCAAATAAATAAATAAATAAAAGGGTAAGCAAACAAACTTCCGGCGCACTCGAATAAGAGTCAAAATTTCGTGTTACGAGCGCGACGGACGGAGGAGACAGATACACTGCTCGACGAACCATTCAGAGTAACAGCGCCGATGAAGTGTCCCCGACGGCTCTTCACTGCGAAACAGCCGTTGCTCAGAGGGAGAAGCAACAGCAGTCCGTCGTCCCTCCGGCGTCCGTCCTTAGGCCTAACGACAAAGGCCCTCTTTGCCGGCAGCCCAGCCTTCCTTTGTCCCGAGGACTCGAGGGGTTCCGGGACTCGCCGACAATGCCCGGAATCCATACACCGCGTGTTCCGAGCCGGACAAGCCGCTGCATCGGAATGGCACTCGTTATTGTGGCCGCGTCTGTGTATCCTGCGTGTGCTTGTGCACCCTTCGGGCTCTGCTTCGTTGGGGCTGCCTTCTTAGAAACAGTTCCCCTCGCAGCTTGGCGGTCCTCTGTCTGTTCCAGACGTGGCCATGCGGCGGTGCCACAACAAAGAAGCCAGTTTTAGGTTTTGTTTGTTTCCGTGACTGATGGAGTGGTTTGTCTTTTCGGAAGGTGGAATTCGGGTGGCTGGTTCCATGATTGATCCCACCAGCTTGGATCAGAAGAGGTGCTGTGTCGCGGACTGAAATTGGGAAAACTTGTTCCTCGCTTTTTCATTTTCTTTTTCATCCCCGGTTTGGAGCGTAGTTATGGTCGATACAAGTTGCAGCTGGTGCGTTATGAGTCCCCGCGTGGTTATTTGACTAACTCTATGTGCAACCATATCTATGTAGGTACGCATTTATTGTTTTTTCACGCGGAATTAGTAACACAGTATTGTCACGGGTTACATGGTAGCACTTGTGATGGAGTACATGTCTATTCAACATTGAAATGATACCAGAAACAAATCAGTCTAACGACACGTCCGCTAGCAACAGCGAGTCAAAATCTATTTCGCGAGCCACCAGACGGCTCATCCAAGCGCCAGTTCGGCGCGTTTCCAGCAAGTAAGTCACCGAGTCAAGCGCACTCGCTACATAACAACGTAAGAACAAATGATTTCCGCTTTATAGTTACAAAAATGTAGGCTGTTATAATGAGGTTTGTTTTCGTTGAACAATGTCTCGACATACACCCCTTTCGGGTGAGACGTCTCCACGTCGAAACTCAGTTAACGCAAGGGATACCGCAAAGCACGTCTCAAAGCATGGCGTTCATGCCTGTGCTTTCAACAATCCTATAAAAAAAAAAAAAAAAAAACATCCAACCGGTTTTTTTTATTATCTTTCTTTTTATCAATAGCACCTTGAAGACAAGGCTTGTGCCTCCGTCGGATGCAGGCAATGAAGGTAAATAATGGCTTTCTTTATTTGTAAACGCAGATGGCCGCTCGCTGCCCCAGAATCACCGTCAGCGGACGTTTCCCAACGGCACCCTCGTCATCTCGGACGTGCAGCGGTCCGCAGACAGTGGATGGTATAGCTGCGTCGCCCAAGATCCGGACGGAAACAGCGCCAAGGGACAGCTGGCCCTGGATGTAATGAGTGAGTGCCCGCTTCCTCATTCTTCCTCTTAGTATTGTGCGAACTGCATAGCTTACACCGCGTATTTTATTCGCCTTTCACACTTGCTTCATCGGTTTCGTCATCGTAACGGTCAAGACATACAGATGGAGTCCGAGGCGTAATTACGCAATGCATATTATGAAGCAGTGGTTTTTTTATAGCACAATCTTAATGCCTTAGACATACGTCTTATATCAAAATGCGAGCGGAGGATTGAGGCTTTCAGCGGCCAGTAGAGGAGATGGAGAATGAAACGATGGAACGACACAGCCCTAGACACAACAAGCCGTTCAGGCGGCGTACAACTACCTCCACTGCACCGGGAAGATTAGGTTCCTTTCCATGAAAGGCGGTAGTTGTAAAGTATTTATATCCCGAGGTGGGCATACTACGCATTTTTCCAACAAAGGACGCCACGTAAATATAAAGAAAAGATAAGTCGACAAGTTAGGTAGCTTCACACATAAGGACACCCTAAAGAGTCACTAGCGATAAACGACGCGTCACATCCCGAGATAATTGTGGTGGCAGTCAGTACGTCCAGCGTCACCACGAACAAAAAACGACGACAATACTTGTTTGCACGAGTCCGACGGCACGTGGGTAAAACGGAACGTTTTCACCTAAGTCCAAATTCAGCCGCGCTATCTCTTCCGTGCTTAAAACTGTAGAAGCTAGAAATTGGTGACCCGGACCTAATGATTGTCTCCAAGGACCTGCCATCCAGGAAAACGTTCTCAACAGCACGGGGCGTGACAATGGCATGGCAATTGGGATGTTTACGAGGCAGGCGCTTCTACCACGGCCCCCGCATTGGGAGCCTTCGCCACTTCCTCATGCTCTGTCGCGTCTGCCGCCGGCATCTCTCAGCAACGGTCTGCGACCACCTTGCTCATCCCACCGGCTCGGCGAGTCTACGTTCGTTGGCATTTCCACCACTGCCGCAGCCTCTGGTGTCGCCCCGGCAGTCGTGCCCATTCGCGTGGTGTCACGGTGTTGGCCTTGCACGGTCGCGTGCTGCCACAACATATGGTGCGTGCCGCACCGCGCAACGCCGGAGCATGACAAGTCATGGCGCTCCAGTCTTTTATTAAGATAAGACACGTCGTTGACCGACCAAGGGCTTTTCATCACTGCTGGGTCAGGCATCTGCTTTCCACTTTCCACTTTCAGAGCTCGACAGCTTGGCTTTCTCGCGCGCTCTCATCTCCTCCTCTCCGTCAGTTTCTGCCCGTATAGTAAAAGAAGCTTCCTGCGTTATTTTTTCCGTTGCCCTTCCGTTTTCCAGCGTAAGCCCACACTAGCTCGACGCACGCAGTATCTAATTTTAGCCCGATAATGAAGAAGCAATCCTTGCCCCGACCAGGGTATCGGGGCCCAGGGATGACCAACCTTGTAGCCAACCCTCGTGCACTTATAAAAGAAACATAAAAAAAGCAGCCACAGGATTTCTTTTTTCCTTTTTCTTTTCTGCGGAGCTAATGAGCGCCTATCCCAAAGAGCCCCGATGTCTCGGCGGTCTTTCGGGAAGTGGCGAACAGAGATGGCCCCGAGCGCTGTCGGTGACCTGGCGCTCCCTCCTTCCCCGCTTCTCGGGCAGCTAATGAAAGTCCGCGCGTGTAAGAGACGCAATTTGTCATCTCAACGCCCCCAGAACGACCGCGCGGCCCCGGTCCTCCACTCGGGTCTCCCCGCAAAGGACGGCGAACACTACCAATGGTTCCATGCGTTCTGTGGTTCCTGGACATTTTGGATGTCCATGCTTCTTTTCCCAAGCCCAAGAAGCATTAGAACCGCCTCCTGGATGACACACCAGTATCACAAACGGAGCTTTTTCGCGAAAATAAATATAGAATGAAAAGCTGTATTTATGTTGCTAGACTTATTTGAACGATTGCGAAACTTGCCTCTATTTCAGGGGTCGACGCTTCAAGACCAATCTCACCAAGCGTTCGGCGCACGCGTAAAGCTGCCATAACTTCAGTTCACATGAGGCAGGCGGCAATGCCCGAGATGTCTCGTGCCCTCCACGCGTAGGGCTCCAGCCTGCTTGCCTCCCGTGCAGGAAGCCTAATAATCCTTCAATGTACTGCGCCAGCTGTCGCGTAGCCTAACTAGCTGGTGAGACCGGCCTATTCATAAGCAATCTGACAATCTAAATATCCCGCTTACATTTTTTTTTTCTCCGGGACCGTTTATTTTGGGACATAGGTATTTTGTCCAGGCACTTCATTTGTTAATTTTTTTTAAACATGAACACCCGTATTCACCAGGCGCGGCTAACTAGCGGCGTTTTAAGGTTAGTAGTACGACTAAGTAGTTGCGAGCTAAACGAGAAATCCGCGACGAACGAGCGATTATGTTCTCAGTATTCACGATCGCGAAGCGAGCGGGTGACTATCTAGTCAGAACTAAGAAGCGGAAGTGACACAAAAAGATAGGTCACGGGCACGCGAACTTCAACGCCGCTGCGTAAATGGGTATTTTATCCTATAAAAACTAATATTTAAATATTTATCAGGAAAAAAAAGTTACAATGAGAGACATATTGTCTTAGACAGAGTTTTACAACGAAAAATTTCAAAACAACGCCAGGGAGAAACACGGAAGCCGCATTGCCAGCGACATAAACGAATATGGAAGCGCCCGTAAATGCGTTTTTTCGCGCCGTCCACCGCCCTGCCGAGATCGCTTTAGCAATGTCTCTGGCCGTTGAACATGGCTATTTAGTCAATATTTGCTCCTCCGATTCTTCCTAGATATGTCCCCCAGCGTTCCGAGACAGTAAGTGCTTTGTTATAGCGCTGGCGGTCAGCGGTGATACGAGTCGGCCATGGCGCAAAGCCGCTAGTCGCCCGCTAAACACCGGCCAAACTAGCCCTACCCCATGACTAAGATTTGTTAGTCGACTCCTTAGTCGCACGGGGCGACTAGGCCCTAAACACGACCGGTGAATACCAAGTGCTCACTTAGCGGCGACTATCGCTTGCCACGTGATCATTTTAGTCGATGACGTCGCTAGTCAGTGGTCAAACAGGCACTACTCGCGCCTGGTGAATACGGGTGGAAGTGTATTATAAAAAAAGTACACCACAATCCCAAACTGTTCTCGGTCCGTCGGTCCGTCCGTACATTTCTCTCTAAATGTAATGGGGAAATTAATGTCGCATGACCTATATCTTTATGTACATTGTGAGAATGTAGTCAACCTCTTCGTCATCCCCAAACATCTCGCTCATCAGTCTGATTACCATCATCGCACTGGTCGAGCGAACCGAAGCGTTCGCTCTCTCGTACGGGCGGTCGCGCAACGGCTTCCAGAATAAGGTGTTTTTGTTTTCCCGTGGCAGCTTGCCTGGCCTGATCTTCCTCAGAATATATTGATGTCACGTGACCTATACTTTACCAGACTGTTCGTTACCTTCGAAACAACTCAAAACGATCGCTTCGTAGATACTGCATTTCATGCTTTATTGGACTTCGAAGACAAACGTCGCTGCCAATTTTCTTTGGAGTTTGAGTGTCCTTTCGGGCAATTCCAGACCGTGCTTTTATTTCAACCACGTCTCAAATATTTTGGAACCACTCCCGACTGAGTGTCGGGATGTAAATATTCCGGGCGCAACTTGTTTTCTAAAGCTCATTTGCTTCTATTTCCTGCAAATTTAAGCAGCCAGATGTCTGGAGTGTCGTTTCTCCGATGCGCAACTTATTTACTGTCTCCCTTTTCATGTTCCTTCTGGAACCTTCGATATATCTTCGAACAAGTATTGCTTTAGACCATTGCGATTCGATAAGCATACGGATACCTCAAACACTGAAAATCTTGCTCTGCGACTTAAAAAATAACCCGCAACAAAAACACAGTCGTAGAAAAGTTAATATTGTTATATGTTGACGAACCCCCGCAAAAAAAAAAAAAAAAATTAATAGAAGACTTGGACTGTCTTCGTTTTTCTAACTCTCTTCTGCTATTAAGTTCTTTCCCTGGAAAGCCGTACATGACATTCTAATGCACACCTCTTTCTTCCTCCCTTTAAAAAAAAACACAAAAAAAACATGCACACATAAATAATGTATGCGGGAAAGTTTGATAAAAAAATCAGTTCAGTCTACGCCTTCGTCACGCGCTTGTTCGCGCGGCTGCGTCTAAAGCCACTTTTCTGAAAATGTGAAGACGCGCTTTCGGAATTCACCCTCCTCTCTCGCCTCCACCCATCCAAAACAAAAAAAAATAATAATAATAACACTGAAATACACCCAAAGTTCCAAAAAGTATATCGACGCCATCTTGACAATGCCTGTCTCTTTATATAAAAAAATTCATATATAAAAGCCAATAAGCCATTCCTCTCGGAGCCTTTTCTTCTTTTTTCTTCCCAAATGCGACGAGGCTGGACGGACGATCGACGGCTGTTTATGCGCCGGCGTTGACTGGCGTCCACGCGCAAGACGAAGCAATTATGCAAAGTGCCGGCGCCGCTCACAATCACGTGAAGCCCGAAACCCGTCGCCTCGGCTGTCAACCCTGAGCGCCGCTTCCATGCCGCCACGTCCGGCACTGCTCCCTCCCGTCCCGTATTTACCGTCTCGATCCAAGCCGAGCCAGCTTCCCAGGATGGTTCGTAGCGTATACGTTTGACGCGCTTCAGCCAATACCACGTAGAAGGCAAGGCCCGGTTCATGCGTCATTACTAGTGGACCCACGCAGCTTGCGACAGCGTTGCCACCGGCGCGCCGTGCAGCGTCTCAGGAACGAGCGTGACATCAGCACGCGGCGACGCCAAGACCGCCAGTCGAACTTCAGCGTGTTTGCCGCTTGGGGCGCGTCGCGGATTCACCAACGATGACGTCATACGCAGGCCTTGCCTTTTAGCTGGTATTGCTTCAAAGTTCGGTCGTCGCGGGACCGTTTTTTTTTTTTTTATTCTATTTATTTTATTGATTTTTTACCGCTCTACGTTTCGTCCGCTCTTGCGCGAGTTTTGCTTAGGGTTATAATGTCACTTGCTCGAATATGTAGCACGGCGCAAAAAAATAAGTTCGCTACATTTTATTCTTGTTATTTACGTGGCAGTCGTCTGCCATCATGTGCGGAGCAACTTCAAATTTTCTCCCGAGTTTCTCCGAAACGAGACCATGAATACACGTATGCTACAAAAAAAAAAAAAAATTCTGCTTGATTTTAAGGACAAAAAAATGAGCGGCCGTGGGCTTTTTTCGCCTACTCAAAACTATATTCAGTCAACACTAATAACACTCATAATAGCCTTCATATTTCTACAAAAATATCAGGTTAACAAAGGGCGTAGAAAAGAAGACACAAAACTGTTAGAAGCAGCTGGACTCCCCCCAAACCCCTAAAATACGACTGCCGCTAAGCACTTCCGCGCAACGCCCCTCCCCATTTAGGCTGATAACAAATAACGTATCAATTTATTAATAATATACTATAACAAGCCTTATTTACCCTATACTTATGCTAGGAGCTCAGAAAAAAAAGTTGTTCAAGCAGCTTGACCGTTCCTAGCCCCCTTATACAGATTGAATATACGAGAAATTATAAAATTCTTAAAAGAACACAATACACGCTCAAACTTTTAAGTGCGGTAGTACGAGTTCCATAACAGTAATCACGAAATACAATGAAACATATTCAAAACAAAATTTTGAAAGAAAATAATTCCGGACTTCACTAGTGCTACGTGATTTTATACATGTTCCTGAATACATAAGTGTGTTAGTTGAAAGGAAAGTCAGTGACAAGGAAATGAAGGCAGGACGCGGCTTATTATGTCGATGCATTTTGCTCCCTGATTGGTTCTTCGGCTCTCTTATCGGCTAGTTCCGCGATTTCATTGGCTGTCGAGTGATAACAAATGCTCGGGCCACGCCCTAAGTTTCTTAATTTCCCCACTCTCATTGAATTGTTCAGTTTCCTGACTTCTTGGTGGGGGCCGCAAAGCGCTCGGAAAGTTCACGGTGCGTCAGAAATTCAACTCTTTATAATAACACGTATTTAACCCGATGGCGTATTTATGCTAGAACTCGGTTCAATGATATAAATTGTTAAGCCAATTAAAGTTTATTATTATTTTATGATGCACGCAATTTTACATTTTTAAGTTTGTAATGCTAACGATACGCGGGGGTATGCGTCGAAACTTGCCTGAACATTGGATGAAGATACGGAAGAATGGTTTCACTGAGTGCTCGTGTTTCGTTCGTTGCCATCCAATTTTCCCGATAGCGCGATCGTCAGAGAAAGAAAAGAAGAAACAAAAAAAGAAAAAACAAGACCGTCAAATATGCAAATGAGGAAATCGGGAACCGCGAAATGAAGACACCCGTGATCTATCAGGTGCTTGAGCCGAAAACGTCTTTTCAAAAACTCCTCGTATGAAGCTTTTTTTTGTTTGTTTGTTAATTTAAGCAATAAAAAGTAGACTACCGTGCCAAAAAAAAAATGTAATATTAGTGAGCGTGAATGAAGCTAATAACACCGAGATGCAAAAGGGAACTTTATACGGTCGAGCAACATTTCCCGCTTTTATACTATAGGGCCCCTTTTTCTTCCCAAATTACCTCTGCTTTTTTTGGAAAATTCAAATGAGCCCGAAGACGCTCATTTATTTAGCGCGTGCAAAAAAAAAAAAAAAAAAGAACGTTATATAATAAACGATGAATGTTATATAATATGCATTCATCCTTTATACTGTGAGCAGAAATTTTGAGCATGCGTCCAAATGCAGTCTTTATTTCCGACTTGGAATGAAGTTAAGGGCCAAGTTTCAAAATATGCGTGGTTTGCATACTGTTTTTTTTGTAGCACACTGCGAAAGCATCCGAGCCCAAACACGCAGCTTTTAACCTTTCTGTCATTCCGCGTAGTACATTATTGAGGATAGCATTAAAGATTAAACATTTTCCTCTGGTTTCTATTCTCGTCGGTATATTTATAATCTTTTTCCCCGAAATATCAATGAACGCTTAGGAAATCCCAAAAAAAGTTTATGGCAATTGACCGCCTCGCGGACACAGTTGTTATTTTCTTCCTTGAAGTCTTCGTACAGTTTTATTGTATTATACTGTCAAATGAGTCAATACTCGTCACAATGTTTGCTCCTTTTCTTTTTTTAGTAAGGACAGGTGTATGCTTGTACTTTAAGTGTCAGACTTTTAACACGGTAAATCGTTTTTTTTATATACATATTATTGAAACTTGATTTGTGTGGCCGGCGCCATCAGTTTCTTGGATGGTTTAAATCATAGCTATCTTCACGTCAAAGTGTGGTCGGTATTTTAAATACATTTTTGATATTGTACTTCTACATCAGCATTTCCACAAAGCTTCAATCTGGGGTATTTTTTTTTTATTATTTTTAGTGATATTGTTTTCGTCCTTATGACTTAAGATTTTTTTTGCATGCCAACTATATCAAGCTTTATTTATCGGTCTCGTGGTTCTGATGATTGTTCATTACTACAGAAAACTATGAATCATGTGTCAATGTTGTACGCAAGCAAAATTTTATTTCTTAACCCACAAAAGCTTAAAATTATTTCTTTGTCCAGGAAGCGTGATGAGACGTATTCTCCTTATATTCAAAACAAAGAAACCACAATTCAGCGTGTACCTACAATTTGTAACCTTGACGTTCTTGTAGGTAGCCGCCTCACTTTCAAGGACCATGTTACATCAGTAGGCGATATTTCCCTTCGTATGTCGGGGCTGGCTTTACGTATGACGGGCAATTTTTCTGGGTTTACGTGTATAGTTCATTTATTTTGTTCTCTTATACGTTCAAGACATGAATTTAGTTCAGCGGTGTGGAACTCTGACCGTCAATCTGAACATCAAAATTGAACGCATTTACAAGCGTCTGGTGTAAGTTTCCTGATAGACACTTCAATCATCGTTGCTATTATAGCCATTATTTGATTCTGAAGTATTTTTTACTCAGAAGAGCTATCGAAGTGACGAGTCACTGGTGATTCGTGGTATTTACAACAAATCATTTTAGAAAAAAAAATTGACTGTATTTCATGGGTGTTATTTGTGCACTTTCGTGACCCCCCCCCCCCCCCCCCCCCCCCAATTCAGAAGAGTGGTCGGTTTATTTCGCGTGACGCGTGATGACGTCGGCGCTCTGTGCCCGTACGAGTGTCGCACAGCTGGCGCGGAGCCAGAGACGTGCAGGCGTCGCGCCGCTTTGGAATGCGGTTCAACTCAGTTTCCGCTCCGTCAATGGATGTGGTTCTTTCCACGAGTGATATGGCCGACGGTATTCAAGAGCGACGACGGAAGAAAGCCGAGGCCACGCGTTCATTCCATTGAATCCCATGTCGCATTTCCATCGGACGAATCCCATCGACCGTTGTACCCATTTTTGTATGACCAACGTTATAGAAGCGTCATAGAAAAAAAAGAAACACACCTGAAACAGTCTGCGTACTGTCTTTTGTACGATCTACACATGAGTTGCACGTGACGCTATCCAAAGAGCGCTCCGATAGCCACCAGAAAACAGGGGAAGAAGGAGCATCCTTTTGTGTCTCTCAGATTTTCACAGACGTCGCTATTCCTCTCCCAGAAGATTATAGAAGATTAACCTGACTCATAATTGTTACAAAAGCAGCTTCCCCCTTTCCCTCTTACATGGTGGTGGAAAGTGCGCGATGTGACGTCGATGCAAGTCATGTATGAGCAGTGTGACCGCTGCTTTAGAGACTCACTGTTTACGACTACAGTTGGTAGTTACGCTGTAGGCGTGTATAATTGTATACGTACAAATCTTTTTTTTTAATCGCTTTTATTGTTGACGTTACCAGAACATGCTTCTCTCCCTTCTAGCGCAATTCGAATACGTTAATCCGAAGAGTTACCGTGAATTTAAGAACAAGCGTAATTTAAGATAACACGAAGCGTTACCGTTCACTGATAGTACTACCAAAGCGTTGTTTTGACAGCATTATAGATCCGAGTCTTACTGCAACTACCGTTTCGCTCTCAAGCAAGAACCACCTCGCAGTCCCTCCTGTTGCGAACCCGTCCTTACTCCCCGAGCGCGCGAGGTCGCATTCTAATTGCTCCTGCATAGTACAAAAAACACGGTGTTCGTTAGCGAAATGATGAGCGAATCATCATCGGATACGCCGGAAGCGTCTTCCAAGCATTCATGTATGGCTCAAACGTGTCTGCAGACGGTTGGACCAACGTGACTCGAATGTCGTACAAGGAAACGCCTTCTGCACTACAAATGTTTATAACGTATTAGCCGTGTGATCGCGGATTCACCGAAGGGAAGCGTCTGCTCCTCATTGTATCATTTTTGCGCATTTGACCCCTTCTCCGCCAATGAGGATCGTTGGCGACGAAGAAAAAAGTAACGCGCCATTCTCCGTCTCCGCCAACAGTGGGTGACCCTAGCTTGCAACCTGCTCGCAACTACTTCGCAGTTCCCCCCGTGGTGAACCCGTTCGCCTTCCCGTCGGACCTGACGGAGGGCAAGCGCGCGGGGGCGGCGTGCATCGTGTCCGACGGGGACCTGCCCATATCGGTGGAGTGGCGCAAGGACGGCCTGCCCCTGGCCCCGGCCCTGAGGGCGTCGGTGGCCGAGGCCAACGACTACACGTCCTTCCTGTCCTTCGCCGCCGTCCGACAGAGCCACTCGGGCAACTACACCTGCGTGGCCAGCAACCCGGCCGCCTCGGCCAACTTCACCGCGCCCATGGTCGTGCAGGGTGAGTCGGGCACCGGAATGGAATCCGGGTAACTCGGAGGGTCTTTCGGCTCATCCCACGCGTAGCTTTGGGTACTGCTTTGACGCGTGCCTCCAAAACATGATACGAACAGTTGATTCGACGTTGGTTGTGGTTTCTTCAGCGTTTATTACTGCCACTACCACGGGCTAGTGGCCCTTATTTCGACTTAGAATGTTTCCATTTCGACAAAAGTTGTTAATCGCGAAGCTCGTTCGAAGCCTAGCCGAAAAATGGTGACGGCACAAAATGCTCAAAACTCGGAACGACCTTCTCAGCTCCTTCCCAGATTGTGTTTATCTCTAAGTTTATCTCCACTACATCCAATTACAATCGGGGCCCCACAAGGATCAGTAGTATGCTTCGTTTAAGTTTAGGGACATGCGCCAGGAGAAATGTTTTTTTTTATTATTATTTACGACAATAAAATGCTTTTTTTTTACAGTTTATTGTGCTTAATCTTCTATTGACGCCTGGTGTTACATGTGGTAAAGCGTTTTGTTTTTATTTTTTTTAGGTTCTTGATGCAATGTACATTTAGAAAAGAACATCTTGTTGTGCACACGTGAGGCATGGCAACACACTTAAAAAGCCTAATAATATAAATTAGGTCGCTCCTTTTAAACGGCTGAGTGCAGTGAACAATACAAATAATGTGTGTGATGCTTCTTATGTTTTAAAATAATTAATAATAGCAAAATACAGTTTCAAGTGGCCAACAAAAAATTGTTAAAGTTTTCATGAATATAAAAAATTATTCATTCCAATTGAAACCTAGATAATTGCATTCTAGATGCTCTAAAGTGTATGCATGCCATATGCGGTCCTGACGGGACAATATTAAGAACAAAATTTTTTGCGCATAATCTGTGATGATGCCTCATTATTATATTAAAAAAAAAGACGTGTTCGAATGTTACCATGGATATACTCATTCACGGTGCGGGAAGAAATATTTTGTTAATAAATTAACGTAAGATATGGAAGCTACAGAGGACTGCAATGGAGAGCTTAGGGCTAAGTCTACTTGTCAGCGTAAACGTGATGGCGGGCGACGTCGCTGCTTGAAGAACCACGCAGATAAATAAGTGGCTCAACTTCATGTTATTCTTCCTTGCCGGGACTTCTTCAAATGCGTATTTAACTAATTTCACGATCCTAACTGGCAATAATTAATTTTGTACATCAAATGTAAAGATGTAAATATAATAAAACACCATAAAACCGCAAATTACATTTCTTGCAAAATATCGTCGTTTTTCGACCCGCGTCCCCTTTTACAAGGATGTTGAACCACTTCAGTTTCCATAATAAGTAACGCATGAACTTTCCACGAGCCAGCAGTCGCCGGTGAGCGCGAGTACACGCAACGAAGTTGACATCATGCTCCTCCATTCCCTCTTAAGATGACAGAGAAATATATGTGGGCTCTGGGGGAAAGGAAGAAAAAGTCAGGCTTTTTATCTCCACAGTGCGGTCTGGTGTAAAAGGTTGGCGATTAAATGGTCTAACAAGCACGTAGCTCTTTCTTTCTTTTTTTCTAGAAAAAACGTCAGTCTATATACTCCTTTCGCCCGGAGCCCATACTGTTCTTGTGAATAGAATCAGAATCAGAATCAGTTTATTTCGTCTATATGTACAGACGACAGGGGCATGGGCAAAAAGCCAACACATGTTGGCTTGACTGGGCCCCACCCCCGTTTTCTTGAGAGAGGCGGATAAGCAAATTGTAGGAAAATGAAAACAAAATCGTTAATTATATAGCAGGGAGATGAGTAAAAAAAAAACCTAACAAAAAAACATGTAGACACTTGTAACTGGGAAGTAGAACACTGATATCATGAGGCACAATACAAAAATAAGTGAGCTACAGAAACATATTTTTGATGGCACGAGGTGTTAGTGTTTCTATGGGGAAGTTGTTGCTCCTTAGATTGTTCAATAATGATGGGAGGTGGTGTCTCAACGTCTGCGTTCCACAGTTTGTTCTGCTGTATGGTACCTTCCAGACATCCTTATTACGAGTAGAATAAAAATTTATACTTCGTGCTAGACCAGCGATCTCTTGAAATAAAGGATTGTTCAGTTTAATGCCCGCTGTGTATCTTAAAATTATTGTGTAGTCATACAGGTTGGTAACTGGAATGATATGCAGAGTCTTAAAAAGGGGTTGTGTATGAGAATCATTTGGGGCATTGACGATACTCCGTATGGCCTTTTTCTGAGAGACATAAAGATTATTTATATTGGTTAATGTTATGGTTCCCCAAACCAGATGACAATAATTTAGATGTGAAGAAAATAGAGAGTTGTATAAAAGGAGTTTAATTTCTACTGGGAGGTCGAAGCGAAACCTGTTAGAAATGCCAACGGATTTTGAAAGCTTGCGAATGAGACCTTCAATGTGAATATCCCATGACAGATTTTCCTGAAAAATTACGCCTAGGGTTTTAGTAGTAGGTACTAGTTCAATGATGGAGGGCCCCAGAACAAGGTTGTAGTCGAAAACCACAGACTTATTCTTCGGTTTAAAGAGCACTGCCTTAGTTTTGGAAGTGTTAATAGGAAGTGAATTTACAGAGCTCCATTTGTGAAGCGAGTTAAGAGTATGATTTGCGACTTGCGCGAGTTTTTCCTTATCTTAAGCAGAAAAAAAATAAACTAGTGTCATCGGCATATATAACATAAGTTGCCTCCGTACTAATTTTGACAATATCATTGATATATATATTAAAAAGCAGAGGACCCAATATACTTCCCTGAGGAACACCGGCAGCTAATGACTGTAAACCTGAACGCTGATTGTCGATGACAACGCACTGTTGACGAAATTCTAAATATGAAGCCACAACGTCAAGAGTTACCCCACGAAAGCCGTAATACTCAAGCTTTTTAAGTAGAGTGATATGATTAATGCGGTCAAATGCCTTAGAAAAGTCCACAAATATACCGAGAGTGGTACACTTTTCTTAGAATGATTTCAAGATTATTTCTTTCTGGGTTAGCAAGGCAAGTTCAGTCGAACGCCCCTTTCGAAAGCCATACTGCGAGGGGGTCAGAATAGAGAATTGGTTGCAAAACGAAGAAATTCTGGTGTGGATGAGTTTTTTCAGGCACTTAGAGAAGACGGGTAAAATGGAGATAGGCCTGTAATTGGATTGATCATTTTTGTCACCACCTTGGCAATTCGTATTTGACGCGGAAAATTACCCAAAGAAATTGCAACATTGTAAATGTGCGATAATACCGGTGCTAATAAGTACAGAACGTATTTGACAGGCCTAATTTGAATATCGTCAATGTCACTGGATTTACTATTTTGGATGGAATTGAATGTACTGAAAACTTCGTATTCGTCAGTAGGCCGAAAAAAGGCACTGCTTTCATTGCGAGTTTCTAGGTAGCTTGTCGACAGAGGGTTATGACTGCTATGAACACTGTTAGCGAAATAGTTGTTAAACGATTTTGCGAGTTCTTGTCCGCGCAATATTCTATTACCAATTTTAATTTCTAGAATGCTATTGTTTTCAAGAGATCGATTTAGGAGTTGATTTACTATTTTCCATGTTTTGTCTACACTTGACATTGTGGCTTCATTAAATAAAGAGTGCAAATAATTTTTCTTTGCTTGCCTAAGCATTTTAGTCAGTCTATTTCTATGTGTCCTGAACTTTTTTAAATCACCAGGCTTCCTAGTATTTATGAATTTATGGTATAATTTATTTTTCATACGAATCATCTTGAGACATTCTTGGGTTACCCACGGCTTATGAATGTTTTTCTTTTGTTGGATTGGTTTATAGTGAAAACTACTGTTATATGCTTTCAAAAAAAGAGCTAGAAAATTGATATACGCGTCATCAGCGGAACTTGAGTTGTATACAGGGTTCCAGTTTACGTCAACAATCAAGGACCTAAAGGTTTCGAGTGTCTGAGAATTTATATCTCGAAACACACGAATGCCTGCAAGTGTAGCGCAATGAATAACATTGGCGTTGCTTGCGATCATGAATATTGGCAAATGATCACTTATCTGCACACCAATGACACCGCCATATGCGCTACCTAAATCGGTATTGGTTATGAATAGGTCGATAAGCGTGGATGACACACTTGCAACATGTGTTGGCGATGTAATGACGTAGACACAGTCGTTTGAATCAAGGACACTTTTAAATGACCATTGCACACTTGAGGCAGTAAGCATGTTGACATTAAAATCCCCACCGACAAAAAGATTATACTTGTTTGCACTTGAAAAATCTAGAAACTTATCGAAATAACACAAAAAATTGTTAGAGTTTCCACTTGGGGGCCTATACACCACACTAAAAATATTTTGCGCACACTTCAGCGTCAGAATCTCAAAATCAGCATATATGCTAGAAAACTCAGTAACAAGTTCGCAGTCGAAAGTAGCTTTTACATAGATCAATATTCCTCCACCCCTTTTGCAATCACGATTTAAGAAAAACGTTTTGTATTTATTCAGTTTTAGTACTTCCTCCTCACTTTGGTACCAGGTTTCGGTGAGCATAATTACGTCGAACGAGAAATAAGAACGCCGACTTGACATAACAGAAAAAACAACTTCATTAGACGTTTCGCCTCCCATGCGGGAGGCGTTACGCAGTAACGAAGTTGTTTTTTCTGTTATGTCAAGTCGGCGTTCTTATTTTAATTATGACGTCTCCCGGCTTTTGGAGTATTTTTGCGTCGAACGAGAATCCAAAGTCTTCGAACAGTGCACACAGTTCGTCCTCTTTATTACGCGCAAAACGCAGATTCGAATGAAAGAAAGATATCGATTTTCCTTTAGTGGATGTAAAAAGAGCGGTTATTTCACTTGGCGTAAGATGTGCGTGAGCAGCCATGATGAAGAAACGAGACTACAAAAAAAGATATGCCAAAGTTGCTACATCATCTTGGCAATATCGCTAGTGCTACTGATATGAACAACCCGTGACTCATCTGTTTTTTGT